CAAATCTTAGTTAAACCAAGTATTTCCCAGTTCATCGAAGTTAATACAATCACAAACGGCCCGAATAATAGGTCTTCCGCAAAACATTTCGAATCAAGGTTGGAATCCACCAGACCTGCCGGTGCAATCACAAGTTTTCGCACTAGACTTGAAGTAATCAGAATGTTAACTCTATAAATGGTTGCTGCTTTACACTTGTCTTGTACGCTCACTAGCGTAAATCACTGTGAATGTAGCAAAAGGGAAAATGTACAATTTTTGTTTTACGGCTGTTCTTTGAAAATGACTCAGCTCTTTAGTGAGCAATTTTCCTGCCAAAAAGGTTTAAGTGCCCGTAAATGAATACGACGTGTACCGGATTCCGAGTTCGAAACCTTTATGCCGTACTTTGACGAGAAGCATCCGTTAAAATTTCGTCTTTCCAGCTTTTTTGTTCCCGAGTTAGTAATTCTGCTGTCAAAACTTTCACGTGCCTACACTTTGTGAACCATGCTATACCTGGGGGCTGAATTTGAAACAATCTTTGAACTGCACACATGGATAGGGGACATCCCTTAAAATTTCAGCTTTCTAATTTTCTGAACCCTGATTTAGCAATTTATCACGTCAAAATTCTCGCACTTTCCTACGTGTGGCTCGGACTTGTTAGGGAGCTGAATTTGAAATCCTCTGGTCGGAAAGTAGAGGACAGTGCCTAAAATTTCAGCTTTCTAGTTCCCCTCATTTCCGAATGAGCAGTTTTCCCGCCAAAACTTTCACATGCCCGTACGTGAGAAACAGGCATGCGTTATAGTTCTCATCACATTCCTGGGGTCGCATTTAGTAAGGGAACACACTGGCAAAATTTCAGCATCAAAGCTTGCGTGATTGCTGAACAGAAATATCCAAGCAGACGAACACACACATACAAACACACACACACACACACACACACAGACAGGGTCGGTGCAATGTGCGTTTTTGCCGCCTGTTGCAATCCTCAAGCGCTGCACAGCAAAAACGCATAAAAAAGACCTTGCACCACCACCGCCCAGCACAACCCCAATTGCATTCCCAGTCAGTATTCTTGCCAATCTTGCAAAATCGGAACTGCTTTCAACCTTCTCGCCATAGACATTTTGCTCGTAAAACGACACAATATGATCTTCAGATACCTGAAATTGCCGATTACTATTACTCCATGTTACTATTAATTTTTGTCATCTGCATTTCTCTTTAATTTTTTATCGCCAGCAAACATGCAACTCTGATGGTGAAGGTCAAAGGCTCCACTGATTGGTAGGAAAACTAACCTCCCTATGACACATTCACTCTTTTCGATGGATAAAGTAGTACTGGCGCATATTAGGGAATTTCTGAGCAGCTCCAAAAAAGGCAGAAACATGCACTTTATTTGTTATTAACTCATTTACTAATGGTTTTTCTGTAATC